TGACAACTCAAGTGGTGCCAAAGAATGCGCCGCTACAAAGCCGCGGATGCGCTGGAGGAGGAAAATTGTTCTTTCTGATCTGGGAACCTTTTGGAATCTGCTTGTAGGAGAACAAGATTTGAAAGCATGGCATAGATCAGAAAGAACAGACATGCGGTTTGGTTTGTCATGGTTGTCCGAACCGGACTCCACCTGACTTCTCTTTTTCGGGGAATGGTGGGCTTGCTTGGAACGCTGGAAGGGCTTCTGGAATCTGAAATGTCCATTTCTCTGTGTTCATATAATAAATGTTAATTAGGTTCATTGTATAGTATAGTATAATGTGTTTTTGTGTTTGCATCCCTTGTCGAGGACATAGCGCAAAGATTCCCAAATTTTGTCGTCATGGCTGGGCATGCCGATGCAAAGTTCCCCACAACCGTTTTAAAAGATGAAAAGCAAGGCTCCAGACAAAAGATTCTCTGAACAAGGACTTTGTCGAGAAATGTCGAGAACGTATATGCCCAATCTAAGACAAAACGGTTCCCCGCAAAACCTTTTCAAGCAAGCCTTTGCGCCTTCCATCGCGACTTGCCAGCCATGTCATCCGTCTCATAGTTGTCTACTGACGGGCAATTTAGCAAATGTCCATTGGCTCCCGCCGTTTCAGCATTGTTTCAGTTTGGCAACGTCGCTTTTGCTGTCTACTTCTCACTCAGCTCTGCCAGGGTTGGGCACTCGCAGTCCTGGGCATGCAAAGCACCGATAAGATCTCATAAGCCAGATTCCGGATTGATATGGATGTGGTATGTTTGCTTTCATCCCTGGCAAGTTCTCGCTGAAAGCGACTGGTTGGCTGATCATTTTCTGGATCAACTCAACGCATGGTGCTGCTACCACAAAAAATGGCATTGCATCATGTTGGCAAGCATGAATCCCAGCACAACATATCCCACAGTAAATTCCGTGTATATATTTATTTGTTGAGAAAGGAATACCGTGCACCTGTGGCATATGGCCCAAATCCCCGAAAGGCTGACCCATTTTGGCTTACGCTATGCAGGCGGCGGCAAAAGCTTGAGACGCATCTAAGGACCTTTGCTTCGAGCTCTTTGCGCATTTGACCTTTCTTGCAACTCCGCATCAGCCAGTTGGCATCTCATTTTATTATCCTTGGCATCGCTCTGCCAGGGGCTTTGGACTGGATTTTTGGTGGGAAACCTCTAGCTGCTTTGGCTGGTGGTAAGCATTTCTTTCTGGAATTTTGGGCTCTGGCAGGAGCTTCTTTTGACTGGATTCGATTGGTGACCGCTGGCTGAGACCTTTTTCACCTGGTGTTCAACAAGTTGCATTCTACAGACTAAGTCTCTGGCACTAGCGTCAGTTTGGACACCCTTTTGTTTCATCTCGGATTTCTTGTGAGCATTACCCTGACCACAGACAGGGTCACGGTTCTGTTTCAACTCCCACTTTTCACCATCCCATCTCATCCCGCTGACCTATCCCTCTCCTTGATACCTCCTAGTCCTACCTGACCACAGAGAGGTCACGGTGCTGGTATCCTCTCCCCCTCCCGTCCTGGCTGGACAGCGCGTTTTCTTTTTGCATCTTTTGCTCTACGTGGTGTTCAACAAGGACGCCCTTGAGACCTTTGCTTCGCACCCACCATGACATTTCGCGTTTGAATGACGGTCAGGTTGCAGACGATCCATCCCATACTGGCACTTTGTACCATGAGCTATAGTCCCTTTGTCCTCTTCCACTTGCAGCTCGTTGGCCACTTCGCCAGAGCGGCGTGGTGAGGCAACGTGGAAAAGAGTTCACTCCGCAAGAGCTGGAATGCTTGTGGAGGCCGATCCCTTGCATGGATTCAACAAATTGTTGGATGCCCTTGAATCCATCAACGGCAAGACAGATTTGGATAAGAAAGGGGAGCTGCTTCACCTTTTCTACAATGAGTTGCGTTGCAAGCCTGGCGAACGCATCAGCGAGTTTTGCACTCGTTTCCGAACTCTTGCAGCTGACCTCCCTCAGAGGGCATTCAACTTCCAGCAGCTGAGCTTGGATGGTTTTTGAGGGAGAAGCTTAAATTAGATGGAATCCGAAAGCAACTGTTGGAGACGGCGCTTGCAGGCCAAGACTCGTACGAGGCTGTGGAGCGCGAGGTGCTCAGGTTGTTCAAAGATCTCCATGTTTCTGATCCACTGCAACGGAGACCTTTTGGTGGCGGCGATGGCAAACCATCATTGATGCAAAGGTTTCTTTCTTCCTCGAGCTCTTCATCTGGGAGGCCTTCAACCTTGGCGCCTTCCCAGCAAGTTCTTCCATGCATCGACCTTTTCGCTCTTCAGCTTCTGTTTTAAGTCTTCATTTAGGTCTTCAAGGTCTTCAAATCCTGGACACGCTCGTCAGAGCTATGTGGGTGAGGCCGACGTGACAGAGGAGCCTGATGATGGCGAAGCTGAGTTGATCCCTGATGATGCGGGGGAAGAAGAGCCGAGTCTTGCAATTTGAGGCAGCAATCTTGGCTGCCGATCTGGAAGCCCTTGAAGCCGAGGGAGTTGAGCCAGAGCTGTTGGAAGAATTGGAAACTGCTGGAGTGGAAAGCGCTGCTGAGGCTTTAGTCTCAATGCGTGAGGCGCGCACAAAGATCAATGAAGTGAAGCGTGACCGGTTATGGTCGCAGTGGAAATGCGATGTCTCAATCCAAACCTCATGGCAACCAAGTGAACCATGCCAAAGCCACCACAAAGTGTTTTGATTGCAATTTGCCTGGCCGCTGGGCCGGAGACAAGGAGTGCATGAAACCTGGAGCTGGTTTGGGAAGGAAGGACAAGAAGCCTAGAAAACATGTCATGATAGCTGAAGCGATGAATACTGAGTACGTGATGCCTGCTGAGACCTTTGGGAAAGATCCACCTGAGCCTCATGAGATCAATGCTGTTTCTGCTGTGAAGGGCCTGCCGACCTCAACTCTTTCTGAAGCCCTGTCTATGCAGACTTCCGCCGCTGTGCCTGAGAAGCCCCAACACCTTGAGCTTGCAAGCGATAAAAGGCTGGTAGGTGCGTTGGACTCTGCATGCGATAGGACAGTAACTGGTTCCACATGGCTCAGCGGATTTTTGAACGAGTTGAAGAAAGCCCCAGCAGATGTGAGGGCATTGGTCAAACGACAGCAAGAGCATTAATTGCTTCGTTTTGGAAATGGTGGGGTTGAGAGAAGTTTGGAACGTTGGAGATTGCCCATGGTTTTAGGAGATCAACTATTTGCATTTTGGACTTCAGTCGTGGATGTACCATCATTGGGTTTGCTGTTTGGGCGTGATTTTTTAGACGGCATTGGAGCTGTGTTGAACTTCAATCGACGCCTTCTGCGTTGTGATCGCCTTGGAACTGGCCACATTCCTCTGAGGCAACTTGCAGCGGGCCACTTCCTGCTGGAAATCATTCCACGAGCGTGGATCAGGCCTGGTTCCCAAAGATGGCGAAAGTTTGGTCAAGATGGTGTGGTTGAATTGCAGCTTTCATTTGGTGATTGGTTGAAGCAGAAGTTTGGACATGCATCGCAAGGTTTTCCCAAAGAACATGAGCATCTTGTGACCGAGTCTAGCGTTTGTGCAGCAGATCTTGCAAATTCTGGACTTTGTCAATCAACTACTGCACGGCCGACCTTGCCGGCACTGGCTCGAGATGTGATGTCGACATCGATTTCCGCAATTTCTCCAATTCGCAATGGACGTGAAGTCCGAACCGCCTCGACTGCTGGTGAAATGGCTTCGGATGGTGCGGCGCCTGTTTCTGCGACGCGCGTGGCACGTCCAAGGCGAGTCCAAGGGCTGCTGCTTTGGCTTTTGCAGCGACATTGGGTGCCTGTGCCATACCCAGCGATCAGCGACACCATGCAATTGCGTCAGCAGGCCGAGAGCATAGTGGCCAATGGCAAAGCGCCATTTGACCAGGGCGCAGCAAGTTGGAGCCTTCACGGCGCAGAACCTCAAGGATGCAGTGTTTCTTCGAAACCGGATGGGCTTCAATTTGGCTTTCATGCATGGAAGATCCGCTATACTGACTGGAATGCTGGCGGCTCGAGCAACCAAGGGCTTAGCAAGCAAAATCCGAGCGGATCCAATTCAGGAAGCTCAAAAGGAAGCCAAGCGTCTCAAAGAAGAAGGGAAGCTGACAGCCGCAGCTCGCGAGCTGATTGGTCCCAGAGGAGGATTGCCAGTCCTTCGACAAGACCTTCTGCGCTTGGCAACACTGCTGCATGTGGAGATCGCCGAGGGGGACACCATTGCAAAGCTGAAAGAAAAATGTCGCCCAGGTGTGGTTTTGCTGCATGATGACCGAGACAAAGCATGTCAAGGAGCCGGAAGCCAAAGGAAAGCCAAGCAAATCTTCCAGCGCTTCCTCTCCCGAGCCAAAGGCAAAATCTCCTCCGCCCTAAGCCACCTTGACCGAAGATCTCAGGAAAGCAGATTTCAAACGATGCTTTCTCAGGTGATGCAACATGTGATGAACCTGCAGAGCAACATCAACCCAGTGCTGCCAGTCGTCGGGATCCCAGACGACTCCATGGGAAGCTTGGAGGAGGTGAATCAAGCGGAGGATCTTCGTCGTCCGATGGAGATGACTGGAGCGGCAGATCAGCAGATCAGCGACGAGGAGGTTCAACGCTTGAATGCAGAGTACTATGCAGAGATGAGACAAGCAAGGACAGCAATGGGAGGCGCAGCATTTACAGAGAGCTTCGACTAGAAGATGATGCTGCCAATCTGCCAATCCCTGGGAGATCAATCGGCACGTGAAGAGGGCCTTGGTCAGATGATTGCTCAGGCCTGGCAACAACATGAACGAGATCGCGTGTTGGTTTCCAAGTCTCCTAAAGATGCTTTGGAAGTTTTCAGTGAACAATGGCATGATGCAATGAACAAGGGTTTGAATGAGGCATTTGTTTCAACAATTCAACTCTCAACTGCAAAGCCTTTTGTGTCTGAAGTTTACACTGATACCCAGCGTGTTTGATGTCACTGGAAACGGGATTCAATTTCCTACTTCCTGAAGATCGCGAATGTGCCAAAACAATTGTTTGTGAGGAGAAGCCCTTTTGCTTGGTGATAGCCTTTCCATGTGGGCCATGGAGTCCTTTGCTCCACCTGAACAAGAACACTGACATTGCCAAGTTGCAAGCTGACGGCGCAGTGCTTTTGCAATTTGCCTTGGTGCTTGCAGATATCCAAGAGCAAGCTGGTCGTCACTACGTGCTTGAGAACCCTCAGCCAAGTCAAGCATGGAAGCAACCTGAGATGACGAAGTTCCTTGACGAGCACGACCACCATCTGGCATGTTTTCATCAGTGTCGTTTTGGCCTGCGTGGGAAATTTGGACTTCACCGTAGAGCCACAAAGGTAGCAACGTCAAGCTGGATCACTTCTAGGTTGTTGGATGGGAAGTTTTGCAACCGTCTTCATCAACATCAACCTGTGTTGGGTGGCAAAGCTGTGACTGAGCCTGCAGGTCATTACCCTCATCGACTTGCAAAGCTCTTGGTGGACTGCATTGAGCGACCGGCTGGCGAGGATGAGTCTGAACTGTCTGAGGAGGAGGAAAAGGCGAGGATCAAAGCTTCTGCTGGTTTGAAGGCAGCTATCAAAAGGCTGCATGACAACACTGGTCACCGGTCGAATTTGCGACTGGCAAGGGCATATACTGTAGCAACCAGCGGTGCACCAGCAGAAGCAATCCATGCTGCAAAGCACCACAAATGCGAGATTTGTCATGAGAAGCGACAGCCGAAAGCCCGTCGCCCAGCATCTTGGCCAACGCCTAAGGATGCTGGAGACCAAGCCAACATCGACCTCTTGGACGTTGTTGACTCCACGGGTACCAAGTTCATTGTGGTGCACATCATTGACTATGCAACGAGCTTCCAGCTCGCAGAACTTCTTCCGAAGAAGCAGCTGGCAATGTGATCGCATTCATCAAGAAGCCCTGGCTACCCGTTTTTGGTTGCAGACCAGGGTAGAGAGTTCATCAGCCATGAACTGGCCGAGTTTTGCACCAGTCACAGCCACAGCATTCTCTTGTGGCATTGCGGTGTTGGAGCTCCCTGGCAGAATGGTGTTTGCGAACGAGCTGGTGGCACTTTGCGAATCATTTTGAATTGCCTGGTGAACACTCATCAGGTCCAAGGTTTTGATGAGCTTGAAGAAGCGTTGGGTGAAGCTGTTGGTGCATACAATAGCGACATCGATGAGCTTGGAGTTTCGCCTTCACAGGCTGCAGCTCTTGGTCGCCAACCCAGAATGTCAGGCGATGTTCTTGGTAGCTTCTCTCGACATCTTGGCGAGCATGGCCTCATAAGTTACCAATCCATCTGTTGCCCGCCAAGTTGCACTGAGAGAGACCGCAAAAGTTGCTATGACCAGGCTTCATTTTTTCAAAAGTATTCGCCGCAGTGAGCTTGCCCGTTCAAGAGCGACTACAGAAGATGATGTGCCTGAGCCTGGATCCATTGCATACTTCTGGCGTTTTCAGAAGTACAGCAGCAAGCACCAACCTTCAAGAAAGCTTTTGACCTTGCGGAAATGGCATGGCCCTGCGCTTGTGATTGCCCGAGAAGGACCCAATCTCTATTTGAGCTTCAAAGGACAAGTCACCAAGTGTCCCATTGAACATGTGAGAAGGGCATCAAGTATGGAGCAGATTGCTCGCTCAACATGGCGGGATGCAATTGAAGACTGCGTGACGGCGACCATTGGGGAGATGACTCAATCTGGACTTCCTGACGATCCCCAAAGTGAAACTTCTGATGGACTTTCACGACAGCAGTATGAGGATCAACTGGCAGGTCAGCTATGATGGGTGTTGGCGCTCAATCTTCGGAGGCTGGACTTTCCTCCGTGCCTACGCCCAGTGGTGGGAACTTTCAACTATGCTATGCCTATACCACCTTGCCTTCGCCGATGGCATCTTTTAGAGCAATCACGTAGGCAAGACTTGACCCTGTGATTGACCGGGCAAAAGCTGCTGACTCAAGATCCCTTGCTGAGAAGCGTCCTGCTGATGCTGCAGTTCGAGATTTGGAGAATCAACATGGGAGTGAACCACCTCCGGCACCTAGTGCAGAGAGGCAAGCACTTTTGACTTCACAGGAACGGCCTGGACTTATGCCTTCCTCGGAACGGCTTGGACTTACGCCTTCCGAAGTGCTTGAGGCCTCGTCCATGTTGAATCCAAACGCGCATCCTCTACTTCAACTGCAAGCCTTGGCCGAGCTTGACCGCAAAGACCCTGACCGCGTCAAGCTTGTCAACCACGGAACTTGGGATGGTCGTTGGGCATGTCCTATGGTCTCTGATAGGAGATTCGAAGACACGAAGCAGTTTGGGCATTCCCTGGCCGAGTGGCAGACATGAGTTTGAGGTTGATGCAGTTCAAGCAGCGCGCAAAGAATACTTCTGGCGCAACATGAACCGCGCACAGAGGAGAGCGTTTGAGCAAGCTGCAAAGAAAGGTTGGGATGTTTGGATAGCCAACGAAGCAGTGGAGGAGCTTTTAGCAGAAGAGAGCAACATTGTTTGGCGCGAGCTCAAAAACAAGAATGAGACGTGCAAGGTCCTCACTCCAAGGTTTGTCTATACGGACAAGAATGATGGTTTGCGGACAGCTGACCACGACCTTGAGATCAAAGCCTCAGCTCGATTGGTGGTGCCTGGTTTTCCTGATGTGACGGCTTACACCATCAGGAAAGGTGCTCCCACCTGCAGCAGAACCACGCAGCACTTGGTCCTGATCTTTACCAGCTGTCGGTATAAGAAGGGATGGCGGCGTGTCAGCGCTGACACCAAGTCAGCTTTTCTGAAGGGTGACCCGTACATGGCTGGTGCGCGCGAGATCTACATCACCAAGATTAGGAAGACATCACCTGATGAACCAGAATTGCCGTTTGGTGACAGGCTGTGCCGTGTGCGAAAAGGAGTTTTCGGGCTCAGTGATGCACCGAGGCAATGGTACCTTCATCTTTGCCGCGCTCTTCAAGACCGTGGCTGGAAGAAGTCATACATTGACGCAGCAGGGGAAAAGATGGAGAGTTACAGGGCATCATCTGCAGCCATGTTGATGATCTATTGGGGGTGATGAAACGGCTCAAGCTTCCCTGGCCGACCTTGGCCGTGAGTTGGAATTCGGTTCCTTGGACCGAGGGGAATTCACACACTGTGGTAAACATATCTCCCAGTGATTCGCATTCAGATGCAAGAGTACCACAAGAATTTGAAGCCGGCCGTGATCCCAGTGCATCGATGACGTGATCCATCTTCGACGACGTGATCCATCTTCACCGCTGAACCCAGCTGAAACCAAACAACTCAGAGCGTTGCTTGGATCGATGCAATGGTTGGTAGCACAGTTGCGTTTTGATTTGCAATTTTAATTGTCTACGCTGCAATCGGAGCCTCATGTCATTGGGACCTTGCTGAAGGCCAACTTACTCATGAAACTTTTCAAGGAGCACGAAGATTTCTCCTTGACTCTCAGGCCATTTGACTTGGAAGGATGTGGACTTTTGGTAGTTGCAGATGCAAGTTTGGGCAATGTGACTCGCCAAGGAGCAGTTGGCGAAGATCCTTTTGCGCGAGTGTGCAGCCAATCTTCATGCTATGTGCTCTTGGGTGATGCCAAGCTGATGCGTGGCGAAGAAGGCAGTTTCGCTGTATTGGACGCGCGGTCGCACAGGTCAAGCCGCGTGTGCAGGTCCACATTTGCAGCAGAGCTCTACTCCACTGAGGAGGCCTTTGACGTCGGCATATACTGCCGTGGCGCCTTAGCAGAGCTCCAGGGCAAGCCCATCCAGGGGCAGTTTTTGCCGATTTGTGAGACCAGGAGGCCAAGCTGAATGGCGTCGGTCGGAAGATAGAGTAGCCTATTTGCAGCTGGCCAACAAACAGGCCTAGATAGGCGATAGTCCTGAAGTCCTGGTGACATTCTTCCACCCCCTGTCCTCTGGCAACAAAGAAAAGATATCAACTGAGAATTGCATGACTTGCCAGGGACAGTGAGGGAGCATGTTACCGTGCACCTGTCCTGGGCATATGGCCCAAATTTTCGAAAGGCCTGGACCCATTTTGGCTTACGCTATGCAGGCGGCGGCAAAGGCTTGAGCGGACGATTGCGGCAGCTTCGTTTGTTCACATTTGTTGAATACATTACTATTTTGTGTTGACTGATATTTTGTATTCCCTTTTGACTCATTCCACGTAAATACTTGTATGAGGGATACTGGCATGGCTGAGAGATACTGTATTACCACAGGCGCCAAAGCGCAGAGAAATTACAGTAGTTGCCAATTTGTCAACTTGACCGGTCGATGCCCCTCCTGTTCAGGCGCTGTGCATTTTCGAGTCCCCTCTCAAGTTTCTTGGGCTGAAGAGAAGGAAGCTCGCAGCTTGTGATAGGTAGCGGTGAAGGAGAGTGCAGCAACCCGACAGGGCTGCAATCAACAGATCAGACGTGGGTCATAAGATTTGTTTGGCATGCAAAAGGCTACCCCACACTGTTAATGCACATATTCAGCCGGCAACGGGTGCTGCAAAGGGCATGCGTGCGCACGTAGATATCCTCAAAGCCACCGCCCTCGCGCGCTACCAGCGGCCACCTGCCCGGGCCACTGAGCCGATACACCACCTTACGCTCCGGGGAGCTGCCGATCCACACATGGGCCCCCACAACTGGAAGCATTGCATGGTTGCCCTGCCCCATGGCAGGTTCATACTTGTCATAGTACACCAAATCCTCCACTTGGTTGGGCTTCAATGCGGTATAGCAGGAACAAACAAAACAAATGGTGATTGCTCTTCGCGCGCACAAGGGTTTTGCACCCTGCTAAAACATCTATCCGTGACACATTAGACATCATTAGACCATGTTCAACTCCATTCACCATCACCCATTCACTGACCGCACGCCCTCACCCGGCAGACCTCCTTATGTCTTATTTATATTTATTTATTTGCTACAGGCTTCAACAGGTTGCAATGGGTTTCAATAGGTTTCAACAAATTTCCATCGTTTCTCGGCGATTTTCACTGCACGGTTGGCTGTGGCACTGCAGCCGGCACCAAGATCGTGCCAGAAGAGTATTTATCAGGGGTTTACAAGTTGATGTCACATGATGCAACTGACTGAGTTTTCAGGCGGTTGTGGAAACTCAACAGCTGTGACCCCCGACGGGCCCAACTGTTTCAAGGTTCCAGTAACCGGCTGGCATCTCCTGCTCATGACCTGAACGATGGCCTGGCAGTGAGCCCCTTGTGGCACATCGCGTGGCTGGTCACAAGATCAGTACCAGAGATTGGCGCACAAGATTGCTATATATTTTCTATATTTTTTTGTTTGACACTTGTAAGATGTAGGTACAGTCATGATAGGTGCAGGCCAGTGTCGCATTCCTGGCCCATTTGACCCTCGATGCATTTGGGGTGCCGAAGACTTTCTGTGCTTGCGTTTCTTTGACATGCCAAGCTGCTGGATAAACGGATTGGACGGAGTGTCTATATTTTTAGAGAACATATATAGGAAAAGGATACCGAGCCTTCCTGGAGTGTCACGTAATTGCTTGCAAAAGATGCTGCTGCCTCCCTTGAACGCTTTACATAACATGTTGTTAAAAGGTTCAAGGCTGCAGAAAAAAGATCGCATGAACGGCGTGCAGTGCAGAGACATGACTAAACATGGAAAGTGCAGCATTGACACCAGATTGGTTTTTGAGCTGTAGCCAGCTTTCATGTCATTGTGCGATGTTTACTGTGCCTTTTGCTTGCTTTCGCTGCGGCAGCGTGGCGTGCCAATGACAAGGGTGCGTCCCAATTCCATATCTAGGCATGCAACTTCAGCAACGGTACAACATGGTGTTGGATAGTGATAGTGATGGATAGCCCCGCTTCGTCAAGAAGGCTATCTTGCAGAGAAAACAGGATGAAAGAAAAAACATAAAGAAACAAGAATCCTTGCATGCTCCCCGAAAACAATGTCATTTTGTGCTGGCACAGCGGCGCCATCGGACAGTTTTGTGTGGTCTGAAACTATAACGAAACGATGGCAAAAACCACGCAGAAGTTCCTAGAAAGTGGGCTCACCGAGGTTAAAAGACATTGAATCATTGCGCCATATCGTGAACCCAGTTACCAGGTAAGGGTTCCTTAGCTCCCGGCCCGGTTTCTCGCCTTGTGTAGCACCGGCCCTCTAGATTGAGCATTTCATCTCGTCTCTACGGTTTCCGATTGGTCTCCAGTGGCGATTGGCGGTTAGGTCCTAGGTTTCCTGACTTTCTTGCATGTTCTTGCCATATATGGTTTCCTGGCTTTTGCTTCGTGTTTCCGGGGCCCTGGCTTAGTTAAGATGATATGCATGCATATGCAGTTTCCTGACTTGTCCCTGGCGTTTGCTTGGCACAGTCTTTAGATGTCTCCTGGCTTTACCCTAGCGGGTTCCCGATTCCGTCCTAATATCTACGTCAGGAAAAACAATGCAATAAATTACATATACCATCATATACCATTTATCAAACACATTTGAAAATAAGGCCAATTGGATCGGGGTTCATAGTTCCGGTACAAAACCTTGGAATATAATGGAACAATATGGAACATGTGACATGTGTCCCCTACAAGAAATTCTGTAGGGCCACTTTGTGCAAGGAAATGGGGATGTGCCCTTTATCTTGTAGTGATCATTCTGTGGTGTCATCTTGGCGGGTTTGACAAAAAGATCCCGATTGCAGGGTCATCTCATCAGCCTGCTGAAACGCAGGTGTATGCGAGAGCTACAATTCTGGAAAGGACACTTTGAATTGTAGGTACGTTGTTTCCCATATATATGTACAGTATGCGCAATCTACTTTTGTGGTATCGCATAATACTGCCAAAGCTGTGGTCAGATCCCCGAGGGGGAACGAACCCAATCGCGCAATACATACAGGTATCCTACAGGTATTTTCCAGGGCCGCTTTATCCTGCGAATTTGGGAACTTACGCGACACCCAAAATCAACAGGTAAGAAACGAAACATTTTTGTAGCGAGCCATTCTCTGACTGTTTTCAGTTTGCAGTGAAGTGAGCTAACTGTATATTGTCACATTTGCAACTACAAAACAAGATCACATAGGAAATTGCACCATCATCCCGTTGTCAACTGGGTTACTGCCCTGCATGTTTGACATGCAGACATGAAGGGTACAGTAAGATTGTGGAAACGATTGGAAACGTGAAACACGCGGATCGCCGAAGTTTCCATTGAAGACATGCTTTGTGAAGTGTGGGACGGGGTGTAAGCTAGATAACCGCCTCAAACGGCGTTCTATCCTGGGCCTCACACCACCCCGCAAACGGTCAGTCTTTCAAATCAGAATCTCAGGGATTGGAGCGATCCAAGGTCAGAAGAGGGTGACATCACCTGCAAAGAAATTTGGTAGCAGGGGTCATCATGTCAGCGCACAGCATGAAGGGTGACCATGACTGGTCCGAAATATGTCTATTTATTTTTTCTACATCCCTTACTAAACCATTGTTTCTGTGGGGTGCTTAAGATTGGAGGGATGGAATTTGTTCATCTCCATGATGTGTCCAGTGCATTCTTGGTACTTCAACCGTTATTTGGCTTGCAGGGCCTTAATGTCAGAAGTTGCACGACACATACTTTGCAGTTTCTTCCATGGAAACTGTGTGTGTGATCACTGCGAATGCACCAGGAAAGCTGCTGCCAGTGTTTCTCACGTTTAGTCTCGGTGCTGTGCGCTTTGGCTGTGGTATTCCTTTCATTACTTGGGATGGCAACTATTGTTATTGTTTCTTGGCTGCTGCTAGCATTTTGAACTCTTCCACAGTGCTGCCCATGACTGATAGTCAGAGACTTCGCAACTATAGATGACCAGCTACTGCATTTGATTTTGTTGAGCCCCTCTTTGTTTGGTTCTGCTTGATTCTCATGCATTCAGGATGGGGTGATTCGAGTGCAGAAGGACATTGCATTGTACGAACTCGGCGCCAGAACGGTTGTCCAGCGCATCAAGGCGCTTACGCTGACATTGCTGAAGGATGCTTGCAAAAGTCCAAAAATACGGGTTCATAATATTCTGTATCTCATAATAGCTGATATTGATTCTTGTAATTTCGTCATGATATTTCATAACTGCCCCTATTGGTGTGCATGCCTTCCGGATGCTTCTGGGTTTTTTTGGCCAACTCCCAGAGCTCACCAATGACTGGGTGTACGCCAAACATTGCAAGGGCGCAAGTTTCAAAAGGATACAGCATGATGCAGCCCATGATACAGCGCATGATACAGCCAGATTAGGCCACGAGGATCCATTAGGCGTCATTACTTGAACCTGGCTTGGGGGCAGGGTGTTGCCCGTGAAACCGCCTAATTACCCTTTGCAACATTCACGGCGACAGATGATCTGAAAACTTTTGGAAAATAACGTCCATGTGCACGTTTTAGACCGCTTTTAGCCAGTGTGAGGTTTGCAGACCTTCCAGTAAATTCAGACATCCAGAAGCAAGTGATCTCGCTTTCTGGCAAATTGCAGGTTGTGGTGAAGAGTTTCTCCCTGGCATTTCCTGTGTCTCGAACAAATTATATATATAATATATGCTCCAGTTTCGGGGACCCCCCCCTCCCTCACCATGGTCATGGTTCGCCCCTCCCCCTGTGGATGTGGGAGTTGGGTGGGTCCTGTCCTGTAGGTAGTTTGGTCATGTAGGTAGTAATGTGAGTAAAATGTATGTATGTATGTATGCATGCATGCATGCATGCATGCATGCATGTTATGTATGTATGTATGTATGTTTGTCTGTCTGTATGTATGTATGTCTGTATGTTTGTATGTCTGTATGTCTGTATGTCTGTATGTATGTATGTATGTAGGATGGATGGATGGATGGATGGATGGATGGATGGATGGATGGATGGATGGATGGATGGATGGATGTATGTATGTATGTATGTATGGTAATGTATGGTAATGTATGGTAATGTAATGTGATGTGATGTGATGCGATGTGATGTAATGTAATGTATCTAATGTATGTAATGTATGTAATGTATGTAATGTATCTAATGTATCTAATGTATCTAATGTATGTAATGTATGTAATGTAATGTAATGTATGTATGTATGTATCTATCTATCTATGTATGTATGTATGTATTTAGGTATGGTATGGTATGGTATGGTATCTATGTATCTACGTATCTATGTATCTATGTATCTATGTAACTATGTATCTATGTATCTATGTAACTATGTATCTATGTATCTATGTATCTATGTATCTATGTATCTATATATCTATGTATCTATGTATCTATGTATCTATGTATCTATGTATCTGTAAAACCGGGGGGTTCCGAAGCAAGGCAAGGGTCAACAGAATGGCCACTGTTTTAGCTAGCACACAGCCCTTGAGCGAGGTTCCTCATCCTAAGTCCCTTGAGACCACGCATGTGGATGAGCAGTTGTAGTCACAAGCCAACAGGTCTATACAACTTTACACCGGCACTACTTTAATGGCTTGTGTACTGCAATTACCAGCACATCGTGCTCCTGGAGCATCTTGTGATGCCCTTCTGCATGTAATGTCCAGAATCCAGAGTTACAAATCTTTCTCAAGAAATCACCTTTCATTCGTTTAGTAAGACAATCGGAAATCATATTGGTACCTTCCGCTCAACGAACATGACCCCCAGTTTTGCATAAATCATCTTTGAGGATGGCAACATCGATCGCTGTTCTCTTGTCTTCAATCTGGGCATAGGTGCAGATCAATTTGTTCAGGCAGTCGAAGAGAGATTTTGAATCCACGACCGATACAAACGGAATCTCTGCCAATTTGCTCTCCCATTCCTGCTTTTTCATGTCATGACCTAGTAGTTCAAGTAGAAGAAATCGATCCCAATGAATGTTGCCGATGCCCATGATCATGGATTGGCACTCGGCGGAAAGGGTGTTCACCGTTTTGCGTTTCAATTTTGTGGACTTCCAAGACGTTACTGAAACCATTTGTGGTGTAGTTTCCGTTTCCAGTTGTTTGTCGTAAAAGATCACTACATACCCACCTTGGCTGCTGGTGCTCAGAAGCTTGAGGAACACGTCGTTGATCTTGGTGTGCTCCAATTCCTGGCCAGGCGGTTGCTTGGCAAAGAAAGTTTTTCCAGTCCACAGGGTCTCACCCCAAGTTCTTATACTTTCTGATGTGGTCCATTGGTCCTCCAGAGTTTCTCCACCGTCCTTCATCGTTGTCCGTGACGGTAAAAGGCTCTGGAGTTCAGGTCCTTGATTTGCCCCAGGATGAAAAAGTGTTCTCCTGGGTGATACATGGTGTCTGATGCAAAATGCTGGGGTCTCTTCCCAAAAATCATCTTTTCCATCCTCCTTCAAATTTCAGCTACGAAATGGGGAGGACTTGGGCTACAGTACAGATTGCCAGCCAGGATTTTTTTGTACAAACAGGAGGGTTGGCCCCCCCTTTTTGTATTTGCATTCATTTTGTAGTTGACTCCTTTCAAATCATCATTTTCATTTTGTAGTTGTATATGTTGAGTTAGTTGAAGCATCCAACATTCAATCATTGACAACTACAAAATGTTCTCAGAATTTATGTTGGTCGGAACTTTGGATGGCATAGACCCAACTACAAAATGTCATTGGGAAAAATCATGTTAGCAATTCCGATTTTCAGCTATTTTTAACTTCAAATGCATTGGATTTGTAGTGCTGATTTTGAATTATTTTCCGAGCCAGAAAGAGTTATGTTCTTCATTTTGTAGTTGCAAAAAAAAGTAACATGCACTGCATTGTGTAGTTGCGCACCCTATGCATTCCGCTGTGTACCTACCAAATGCCATTGCACAACTTCTCCCCCCTTATCTGAACCCTGATTCTTTTCCATCTTCAAGCTGATCTCTATCCTTGGAGTTTCCCCACCTTGGAGTTTACCGACTCGGAGCCTCTCCACTGGAACGGGCATCAAAACGATGCCGCTGGTTGCTGTTTGTTTGGCCTCCAAGGTCAGTGTATTGGCTTCCAAAAGATTCAAAACCCTAGGCTTTGGAAACGCCTGCTGTAGTAGTTCAACTCTACCAGCCAAATCTAGTCTTGTCTCCTTTGCTAACCACGCCAGGGCTCCTACATTCGCACGGAGTGCAGAAACCTGTTTCTCATTGCACATAGAATATCTTTGACGTTTCTGCTGCTTCGTCAGGTCGATGTTGATGAGCTTGTCCTTGACGTAGTTTTCCTGGTTCACAACGATGCTGTAGTCCTCCTTCTGGTGAAAGTATTTTCCTGTGAATTTGCCGTGGCCAAATTGAAACTTGCCCAAGCGGTAAGTCTCTCTGATCTGTTCCATGCACTTTATGTGGTGTTCATCTCCTCCATGTAGAAGATCATCTGTAGCTACTGCAATCACTCCTGAAAGAACGCGGCGTTCAGGTCGTTCCACGTGCTTGTAGTAGATGCATGGATCAGCCAAGGACTGAACGTAGCGAAATTTTTCGACCAACAGTTTTCGCAGGTGCTGAAGCCAACAAAACGGTCAATCTACAAGACCGTAGCAAACCTTTTCCAGTCTGAGAAGTTGTCCAGGTTGCATGCCAGGTACTCCTTCTCTGGGCTGCGATGTGAAGAGCACCCGGTCAATGTTGTCACCAGACCCAAAGCATCCAAGATTGAAAAAAATCAATCGCCATTCAAAAATTCAATCGTCTATTGAATTTTGCTTTAAATCAATAGAATTAGATGATTTTGATACTTTGCCAAAATCAATCGAGAAACCAAGAGGAAAAAAAACAAAAATCAATAGCAAAACCAAAAGCAAACTACCAGAAAGAAAACTATACTTTTGAAAAGATGTTTTCAGCCATGTGGCTGTAAGACTAGATGCATGGTGGTGGTGTTAAGAGCTGTACAGCCCATCTTCTTTAACTGCTGGGGCTATCCAGCCCATTTTCAAGTGGCTGCCCAGCTACCCAACCCAACCCTTGCTTTGAGACTATCCAGCCCATGCTTTAACCAACAGAGGCCTGCAAGTCTTTGTTCTTTTTTCACTACTCACTGCTGGATTCACTACTGTCATCCTCAAAGCTAAAATGCTTTGCTAGGACAAGGTGAAACACAAATAGAAATTTTTTGGAGCGCTTTAATTATTAATTCCCGCTTTGTGGGGAGCTGTCCCCCTGGTGCAACTTGAGGTCATGTGCACCATGATTGACATAAAGCCTTCAGATCCATAGCGCCAACATGTGGCAGGGTGCAAGTGGGCTGCCTGGGGCCCCATGTGACAAAGCACATGATGCTTCTGGGTCATGGAGTACAAGTGCTTGCCTTCCTGCATGGCATCCTTTGCCAGCCAGCTATAATGAGCCAGAAGATTTTCTGTGTTGGAGTTGAAGGTTTTGCTAGCCTCTTCAAGCCATTCTTGCCATGGCACCTTCAAAGCATTGTACATATTGTTCAAGGCAGTCACAGCTTCCAGTCTGTGTTTTGGAGCTTTTCCTGCCTTGTACAGCTTGCAGAGTTCTACCATGATGGGGCTGAGCCACCTCACCCTTGCACCTTTTATGTGCTTCAAACTGGTGTATTCCTCTGAAGTTTTGGCTATATCGCTCAGGTGGAGAGGCCTGATTCTCTTCCCACTAGGCACTTCTTGGGCATCATAGGGCCTCACCAACAGCTTGTTAAGGCTTGCCAGGTTTGCTTCCTTGCTTGTGCCACCCAAGCCATTCATGACTGAATACAGAACATTGCCATAAAGGTAGCAGCTCACTCCCAAATCAAGCAGGTGTAGGATGTCCAGTTTGAGGGTGGGGACTGACACCCCTGGTACCTTGAACAAGGGGTGCTTGAATTTCTTCGCCAAATCAGCTGCACTCAAAATTGTGCTTCTCCATGCTGCAGTGGGTCGCATGTCAGTAAAGGGCCTCTCAGATTCTTGCTTGTGATCTGCACAGCAACAGGGGCAAATCTCATTCGCATTTGCCAGTTGAATTCTGATGCAAAAACTCCAAATCTCCAGTAATGGCCCAAAGGACACATCTCCTCATTGGCTTGCCTCTGGGGCCATCTGCAGCCTGCCCCTCAAATCCTTTCTTTGGCGTTCTGCCATTGTACAGAACTGTGAAGTCCCAGAGAGGCACTCCATGATCTTTTCCCAAGTCTCTTTGACAGCAGCTAGCTTGGGCATACAGGTGAGGAGCAGCTGGGACTCAGCAACGCTTTTCTTTGTCAGCAAGCATCTCATCGACAAAACATGCACAGAATCATGCTCCAAGAATGGTGCTGAATCACCATGGAGTGCAAATGGCAGAGGCAATTGAGATGGGTGAGCGAAGTCTAGGGAGTGCCACAGTGCAGGGCATTTCCTCATCTGTGGTGATTCTTTTTGGCTTCTCCAAAAAGTGGTCAAATCTGAGTCTTTGCAGGACATGCTTTCCAAAATATCTGTTTGATACAAGCACAGAATCCATTGGTGTGGAAGGAGTACCCAGACATCTCCAGCTTTCACAACTCTTTGGCCATCCTCCTTCAAAGCTATTGGGGCTCTGATTTTGAAAGGGGCTGGTGACTGCAGCTTCCCAAAAAACTTTCTGACAAGATCCCTGTGCACATTTCCTGGGGTCAGCCAATAAGAGCCCAGCTGCGCCAAGGAATGTATATCTTTAGTGTCACAACCAGACTTCACAGCACAGTGTGCAATCTCTTAGATTTCACAAGCACTCAGCTTTCCTGTTGCAAATTTCCGCAAGAGAAGCAGCCCAAAGGGCTGGGTGTCGGTTGCCGATGCCGGATGCCGGGTGCCATATGCCGGATGCCGGTGGCCGGTGCTGGATGCCGATGCTATAGCTGCCGGGTGCCGGGTGCCGGTGTGCCGGTGGCAGCATGGATGCCGGTGCCGGATGCCGATACCGGATGCCGGTGCCGGGTACCGGATGCCCGATGCCGGATGCCGGTGCCGGTGGTGCCGGATGCCGGTGGCCGGGTGCCGGTTCAGCTGACATTCTTGCCCACTTGAGAGGTCAAAGCTGCAATGGAATTAGGCTCCACCTGGGCTTTCCAGCCCATCAAACTGTGCTTGCCCCAGATGCGCTTTGGATGTATTGGGCTATCCAGCCCACAATGGCTAATAGTGGAAACACAAAGCAATTGGGCTATCCAGCCCACAATGGCCAATAGTGCAAGCACAAAGCAACTGGGCTATCCAGCCCACAATGGCCAATAGTGCAAACACAAAGCAACTGGGCTATCCAGCCCACAAAAGCACTAACCAAAAAAAAGGCTACCCAGCCAAGAACTTGTTTGACCCAAAGCATGCTTGCAGCCTTGACTTTTCTGCCACCATGCTTCAGCCTTTGCCTTCTGTGCCATCAGTTTTTTCTAAATCTACCAGTTTCAAGCCTCAGTGCTTCATGGCCTTGGCTGCCAGTTGCTTCTTTGACTTCAAATCTTTCAAGGCAGTGCATGCCTGGGTGAGGACCTTGGCCAGCTCAGTTTTGGCACCAGTCTTCCCAGCCAAATGGGCAGTCACCTGCTTCAAAGCAGCTTGGCCATTTTTCTGGGACTCCTGCACCTTCTTCACCAGTGCTTTCTGCTGGGCCTTCTGGCCATGCTGAACAGAGCTGCTTCCACTGAGGCCAAGTCCTTGGTCAGCTCTGCTTTGAACAGAACCAATCTCTCCTCGAGTTGCTTCTGGCCATCCCCTGCACTGACTTGGGACATCTGGTCCCACTTGTTTCCTTTGGTCTCTTTCTCTTCTTCCTCATCTTTCTCCTCATCCTCCTCCTCATCCTCCTCTCCACTTGCACCCTTCTTTTTCTTTGCCTTGAGGCCCATGGCAGCAGCCAAGCCATCATCCAGCCCCAAAGGCTTGCTGGGAGCAGCCTGGCTCAAGTCAAAATGGCGCTCATCCAAGTCATCATCATCCATCAGCTGGTTGAAGGCCATTGCTTCTGTCAGGCTGCCTGTTCCTTCCACTTTTCTATGGGCTTCCTTGTGCTTATGCAGGTATGTGGCTTCCTTCCCTGTGGTGGCTTGGAATTGGAAGAATCGCGGATCTTCTGGGTTTCTCCTCCACTTCAAAGTTACAGCAGACAGTCTCAATCTCATTTCCTCTAGCCCTAAGTCCTCTTCACATTTCTTCTTGCTGACCCATGCCCTTTTCACTCCATGGCTCTTGTCTAGGCTCAACTTCATCATTGCACCCTTGTAGTGCTTATCGCACTTGGCACCACCCATGGCCCAGCTGAGCAGCAAAGATTTCTTCTTGGCCACACTGCCAGCCCCATTGGTCTCTTCCTTGTACTTCTTGTCTTGGTCAGAAGACTTCCTGCTAGCCTCGAACTTTTTCCACAAAAGCTGCACCTGCTTCTCTGGCAATTTTGCAAGGGCTTGAGAGAAATCCTTCTCAGACATCTCTTCCTTCTTGGCTAATTCCTCCAGAAACTTTTCATGGTTAGCCTAGGCTTCCTTGGAAAGGGCAGCATTCCTTTCCTCATCCTCACCTGTCTTGCTTTTCTTCTGGGTGTGGTTTGATGCTTCTTTGGCAGCAGACCTCTTGACTGGCATGGCTTCCTATAGATGTGAAGGCTATAGTGCTTCCTTATTGCTTGGGCGGTTCAAAACCCTGCAGCCACAAAAATTTGGCAACAGAAAAGTTTTCTATGATTTTCTATATGTTTGAAAAGTGGCTTGGGACTTTTTGGCACTCCATTTTCCAAAAATATCTTAACTGAAGTTTTGTTTCAGCCATGGATTTTTGCATTGCAACTTAAAAAATGCCAGCCAAAAACAAAAAAAATAAAAGAAAAATGTAAACATAACAATATTTCTTAAAATAACTATTTTGTCATGGTTGTTCTTCATGGCCTTTCATGTGAATATGCGTTCCTTTCTAAAGTTTTCAAAAAAAAATGTTTGCTTATTTTGGTGTTTTTTTTGTACAGCCAAGGTGTGCCCTGCAGCTTAAGATTTTGGAATCTATTTGGCTATCCAGCCCAGTGCTGTCCAGCCCAGTTTATTCACCTATGGGCTATCCAGCCTTTTTTTTGACCTATGGGCTACCCAGCCCAATACTATTGATCAACCCATGGGCAGATGTGAAAAACATGTGGGCTCTCCAGCCCAACTGTGTTGATCAATCTATGGGCTATCCAGCCCAAGGCTATCCAGCCTAGTTTATTGACCTTATGGGCTTTGCAGCCCAATTATTTGACAATAGGCTTTCCAGCCCAGTACTGTAGATCAACCCATGAGCTATCCAGCCCAAAAACATGTGGGCTGTGTTGAAGCATTACTCTCCAGCCCAGAGGTTGCTAGCACACCTTTTTTTTCTCCACTGGCTTGGTTGTCCAGGCTTCATCTGCCCAGAAACGGTTTCAGGTTGGCTACCTGCTGTACCAGGTTGCTGGGCTATCCAGCCCATAAGGGAAACACCACCTTGCTTTACTGTAAACCTTTTACAGCAGTGTTTTGTTTTTTCTCCAGAACAAAACATCCCAGCAACCTTTTTGCCTACAGTGCTGTGGCCCCCTACATCAAGTTCTGCTGTCTCAATTGGGGCACAAAACCACTGCACTTCCAAGGCCCCCTCTTGGCCTGACAGCTCAAGCGCATGCAGCCCCTGGTCACTTCATTTGCTCATATGGAGTTTTTGTTCACATGGGAGAAAAGGTTGCACTGCCTGCGCAGCTTCAGCCCATCTCTGCTCTCAGCAAACCAGTCACGCCTGGGCTGTGGAATGGTTGAACTTCAAAAAGATGTGTTTTAAAGAGGCACCCAAAAAAAGAACAAAACAAACATATACATAAGGCAATGCACTGCTCCAATTTCTCCAGCTCAGAAAAGTCCTGCCAGTCCTGGGACCGAGAAGCATTCTTCCAGTTCTCCCAGCTGTGCTCGCCTTGGCTCATAACTTTGGTTTGCCTCAGCTGCTCCTTGTGGTGCTTCAGCCCCCTTCCCTCCTGATCCATCTCCACCACTTGCATGTCCTCCACTCATACCACCTCATAGAAGGTCATCTCATCCATTCCTGCCAAGGGCCAAGATTGAGCTATCCAGCCCAACATGGTGTTGAGCTATCCAGCCCAACATGGTTTTGAGCTATCCAATCCAGCCCAACATGGTTTGAGCTGTCCAGCCCAACATGGTTTTGGGGTATCCAGCCCGCATAGTTTTTGGTTACGGGGCATTCGAGCCCAACATGGTTTTGGGCTATCCAGCCCACTTGGTTTTCAGTTTTTGGGCTATCCAGCCCACATGCATGGGTTTAATATTTATATATATATATATGTATGTATGTATGTATGTATGTATTTATATATATATATGTATATATATATATATTTATATGTGTGTATGTATGTGTGTGTATATAAATATATATATATATGCAGTCCTGGGGCAACTTTCTCCTTCACCTTCTCCAGAAACATTCTGTTGCTCTCCCAGTCACCTTTCTGCCCCACTTCTGGCCAGGTTTGTGAGCAGTAGAGGGACAAGTGGTTCAACCACAGCGACACAGAGATGTCTGGGTTGTAGTACTGCCGCAACAGCCTCAGGTTGTCTCTCCAGACCCTGGTTGCACCTCCCCCTCCTTCTCCTGAGGGCACACCTTTCCCACCCCAAGACTCCGCATAGCTCTTGCCTTTGCCCTTGTCAGCCTGGTTTCCACCCTGCTGGTTCTGGTTGTAGCTCGTGGCTGCTAGCTGCACAGTCACTTTTCTTGGGCCACAGGCTGGTGCAACATGAAATCAAACCAGTTCCATGCCACTAAGCCACAGCGCCTCTGGGACTTTTCCTGTCCCAGCTTCAACTTCTTCCATGCCCTGGCAGCACCCAAGCTTTCACCACTCTGCAACTTCTGCATGATGCTCTTGGCCAGCTTGTAGCTCTCTTCAGCACCTTTCTTGCTCACAACCTGCAGCAGTTGCCTCCCTTGTGACAATCTTACTGCACAGGCTCCAGTGCTCTTGTACTCCATCAAATGCATCTTCTTCCCTTTCACAACCAGATCATTTGCCAAAGGCTTCTGGTTCATGCCCTCTTTCTGGTTCTTGCCCTTGCCTTTGCCATTCTTCTGCTTGGAAGGCTTTGGCCCCTTTGCCTCCAAAGCTGCAGCAGGCTTTTTCAGGCTGGCTGCTGGTCTTTTGATTGCTTCTCTGACCTGGGCCTTCTTCACAGGAATTGGGGAAGTCATATTGGCTTCTGCCAAGCAGCAGATGTGGCTGGTGACCGGGGCACATGAATCGCCAGCAAGTCCTCTGTCTTCACTGAGGTTGCAGGTGAAGCAGGAGGTGAAGCAGGCTGCTTCTTCTTCTTCTTCTTCTTCTTCTTCTTGGCGGAGCTTCCCACCAGTAAGGCCCTGATCTGCTCCAGTCTTGCCTCTTGCTGTGCTGTAGCTTTGCTGCATGCTTCCTGATATCTCTTTGGGTCTTTCAAACGCCTGGCATGGTTCAGAAGCACCAAGAGGCTGCTGGCCAAATCACCATTGAGGGTTGCCTGCTGGCTCTGTGTGAATTTTGCCTTCACATCAGGAAACTGCCTCACTGTCTCTGTGACTGCTGCTTTCAGATCTGAATACTTCATTGCCAGCTCAGTGCTAACATTGGCCAAGCCCTGCAGCAGCCCCAGCTGATCAGAGAGATCTGGAGCTGAGACTGCATGCTGTGCAAGCACAGTCTTGGAGTACTTCCCCAGGTTGAAGGCAGCAGTGACACCTTGGCTCTTCACATAGGTGACAAGGTGGAGCTGTTCCTGGTCCACTTCAGAAACTTTGTTCCTTCTTGCCCCCCCTTTCTTCATGGCTGATCAAGAAATGCCTGCAGATCAATCCCATCAAACGATGCAGGGCTATCCAGCCCACATGCAAAATGGAGGGCTATCCAGCCCATGACAAAGGAGAGCTATCCAGCCCAACACCAGTTCAGTAAGAAATGCTATCCACCCCATACTTGCAGCTCAAAAATCAATAGCAAAATCAATCGCATTTTCAATAGAAATTGAGTTGTTTTTCAATCGTGTTTTCAACAGATAACATTTTGATTTCTATTGATTTTTTGTTTGAAAAAGCAATTTTCAATCGCCACTTGGTTTTGTTCAAAAATCAATTAGATCCATTGATCTTTTTCAATCGAGGATGCTTTGGGGACATGAACGCCTGCGTGAAGTCCCGGAAGCCTATCTTCCAAAGATGGCTGGCTATAAGTTGAGCAACCATCAAGGCTTCTTCTCTTGTCACTTGTGGTGTTGCAGTTTCAATGTTCTCCGATCCTGTCTCTGAAAAACCTTTCATGACATGTCTTGCCTTCGCTTTGCATGGCTCTTCTCTCTCCCAGTCCAGAAGAAGTCCTGCGGTTTTTGTTTCGTCCACTTCATCAAGTTCAATCTCTTTGGCTGTCAGGACATATCGAGACTCCATCACCTTGTCTGGTTGTTCTCGGCGTACTTTGGCTGATTTTTCCTGAGAAAGAATCGTGTAAGCTCCGATGGAGAGATTGTTCTTGATCTCCTTCTCGATGGCTTTTCGGAACTTCGTCTGGTTGGTCTTAGAGAGGTCGTTGAATCTCACTTCCTTTTTCTGTCTGGCCGCAATCAAAGGCTCCAGTTTCTGGTAGTAACAGGCCAAGTATATTCCAGCCAAGTGCGTTTGGCCGGCTGTTCTGCTGACCAGTCTTCATCTTCATCTGCGTCTCGTTTGTGTCCTCCTCCCCGGTCGCAATCGTCCGCAGAATGTTCAGAAAGAAGACCTGGACTGTCAGGAAGTTCACCGTCACCCTCTTCTTCAGCAGAAGGTGGTTCTTGTCTGCCTCTTCAAGACCTGGTTCTCCTTGTGGTGGAGGTGCTTTGGTAAAGTATCGCTTTCTCGGTGGCGGATCTTCACGTTCTAGAAGGCGTTTCAGATGTGGTGGAATCGGTCTTCTGGGGATAGCCAGGTCACCTGTGTCATCAATCGGTTCAGATGGCTCGTACCCCGTTCTCGGATTCCACTCGATCTTGTAGTTCAGGTAGAGGATGGTCTGCAAGATCCAAATACCCTTGTTTCGGCTCTGTGCAAGGTCTGCCTTGGTGTCGACCAGATCCTTGAGCCATCCTGACACGGTCAGATTCTCCTCTGCACTGGCTCGTCGGATCCTCTCTGGGGAGGCCTTTACCATCCTTTACCAGAGTAATTACTCTGGTATGCCACCCAGATCGTGCTCGGCTGATCGACCATAATGATCTTTGCTGGACCGCACCAAAAACCTGGTGCAAATTTTCTGGCCTTGTCAGCTCCCTTGCGGAAGAAGTAGACCATTTCCCCAATCTGGTAGTCTTCCATCGGTCGAGGTCCAGTTTCGATTGCTCGTCGTAGGGCAGCATCTGCATCAGCTTCCACAAATGCCTGGGCTGCCGCTTTTCGCATCCTCATCGCTCTCTCCACTGACAAATCGCCCATTCTGGCTCTTGAAGGCAATGCCCGATTGCCATCATCACCTGATAGTAGTCCACCTGGAATTCTTGTGGAAAAACCAAAAACACGCTGCATTGGAGAAAAACCATTGTTCTGTAGAAGCCGGTTTTTGGTCATCACGACCTCGTCTATCAGCTGTTCCCACTCCTTTGTACTCTGACAATTGTAGTTGTGCATGGCTTTCAGCAACATGAATTTGAAGGGTTTTCCGTGTCTCTTTGTGATTCCTCTCTGGTTTGGTGCTTCGACAGCGGCTGGGTCTGCAAACGAGCCATCCTCTTCAGCACTGGTGGCAAACGCTTGTCGAAATTCTCGCCCCATGTCCAGGGCAATCCTTTTCGATGGACCAAAGATCCTGATCCATTGCCGGTATGCCTCTCTGACCACCGGTGGTTTCTTGGCGGTCAGCGGGATCATCAGCTGAAACTTAGAGCTCCAGTCGATGATATTCAGCGCTGGCCTGGTCTTGTGTTGCCCTCCAGGTAGAGGAAGATAGATCACGTCCACGCCCACGCAGTCATTAAATGCCAACTCCCTGGGTGGCGCACTCCTTCTGGTAGGCCTCGCTTGTTGATGCATTTCACAAACAGGTGAAGCGACGAGCTTCAGCCAGGACATCCGCCTTGGCCTTGGAGTACTTCAAGATCCTCAGAAAGCGATCTCGGTCAGGGTGCCAGAAACCTTCATGTGCTCGTCGTACAAGCCTAGCCAGGCTGAATCTGTCCCCAAGCGGCAGTTCTCGTCCTGGTTCTTGCTGTTCTTGTCTCGGCTCCAGCTCCTCATCTTCCACCTCGTCCAATTCACCTGCAAGAATCTCATGTAGTACATCTCGTTGTTCACTATTAGTCGAGGTTCTTCTCGTTGTCGATGTTCAGAACCATGAACTTGTCCAGGATCGCTGATCTGCTTGAAGTGCTCGTTGATGACATAGTCCAGGTTATAGATCTCCTCCAAGAGCGTGTTCACCTCCTTGACCTTCACCTCGATTCCGAGATGTTCACTATGACTATGACATTTCAAGATTGCGCCGATCATTCTTGCAGGATATTGTTGTGCCCTTCGGGATTTCTGTCCACCAATGATGACTTCATGTTGATGACTGCCATCACATCGTTGGCTCAGCACTTGTGCCATCCGGAGACAATTGGTCACAAAACCGGTCGCCTTTTGATGTAACCCCCCTTCAGGGCCTCTCAGTCCAAAGCTGCATTGGTCAGCGCGGGCAATGCACATCAGCGCGCTTCAACAAACGAATCATGGCATCGTCTTGCCATGAAGTGGCAGTATATGGATGTTCGAAAACAAACTTGAGATTGAGTGATCTGCACAACTCGCAGAACTCAATTGCAAACCTGAGCAACCTTTTTGCCTTGGCTTGTTCCGTAATAAAATGGTGCATCAACTATCATCAACTCAGGATTCGTTTCACGTTTGTGTTTCGACAGATTCTGCAGCTGAGAATAGAGTTTACAAGGTGGTGAAATCAAAACAAGACTTGGTTTGACCTGGGTGATATACCTGATGATTTCTTTCTTGGTCCCTTTTTGCAAAATGCCATCCCCCAAAACAATGTCAAACGCCCGTCCCGCAGTCAACCCATGTCTGTCCGACCGCTGTCCAAAACATTCAGGATTGAAAACATCCACAACCGTTCGCAATTGTTTGTGTGACAATCCCATGACTTCTGCGAAAAGCTTACTTTGTTTTGACCCGTGCGGACACTTGGCAAACTCTTGACAGATTTCCCTATTCATCTGTCTTATAGTCTCCATAACTTCTATAGCGGGTTGGCCAAGATCTAAGAGAGTCTCTTGGATCTGTTTCCAAAAACAAACTGACTTCTCAAGAGCTGACCTAATCTGAACACTCTGTCGCTCTGTCAGCGGTCTCAGGTTCTCTGCCCTCACTTTTCGTTCTCCCGGCGCCAAGCCAGGAACTTGTGGAACTCGGCCATCTCCTCTGCAGATGCCGTTGATGTTGTTCCGGATTTGCCCTTGGCCTTGTAGGTGATCTTGGGCTCCTGCTTGAGGATCTTGCGACAGATCTTGCACGTCTCGCAGTCTTCCGATCCATTGGTTCCCTGCCGGGTCTTCTTTGGGTGTGTGCACTTCTCCTGAACCATCAGCTGAAGTGCCTCTGCCGGTGGTGTCCTCCCTTGCCCTTGATCCTGGTACTTCCAGCTGGTCACATCGTGGAAAGGCTGCTGTGTTGTCCACATGAAAAATCGGCATTGATGCCCGATTGGTCGGGGGCATCGGTAGAATGTCCGATCGAAGTTCGGACCTTCCGTCTGAGCCAGGTGAAGTCTTCCCATCAGGCCGCAATGGCATGAAGGCTTCTTCTCCCCGTAGATCAGACCATGAACATCTCCCACCTTGGCTTCGTGCCGATTCTGCGACACCACGCTGACTTCCGTAGGTGCCACCGAGGCTGGACTTTGTCGTGGTTGATATCCTGTGCTCGATTGTGGGCTCCCCTGGCGTTTCTCCTTGCACTGCGAGACCAGGGCAAAGCTCTCGTCGTCCTCCTCGTCGTACTCCAGCTGCATCTCGTGATCTGGGCGTTGACCAGCTCGCGCGTGAAGATCAAGTCCTCCATGTTCAGGTGATTGGCCATCTTCTTGACCAGACGACGGTTGCTCGTGCGCGTCTGCATCATGTTCTCGAGGTAGTAGTTCATGGGGATCACCAACGCCATCAGCTTCTGCACCATTCGGGCCCACGAATTGGGTGGCACCGGTGATGGGTGTCCACGAGCACGCCCATGGCACAAGTCAGGAGTTGAAGGAGAGCTCGGAATTGGTCTACTCTGAACCTGAGCACTAACTTCTGCCGCTCCATCCAAGTTTCAAATCTCAAACTCATGAGCATGCTGTTTCTGCTTTTCGTTTTGAAGCTGGTGGATCCCGTGATCATCACTTTTGAAAACTGCTGTAAAGGAATTTGCAAAGCTCCTGATGGTCCAATGTGCAGTGGAACTAGATCTGGAACCCCCTGCATCTTAAGTGCCAGTCCTTCTTGTTGAGAAAGAACTAGTTCACAATCGCAGTGCATCAAAAATGACAATGACAATAACAATGGAGCTTCCTCACTTGCCTTGCCGTCAAAAACTGCTGGTCGTAAAATTGTGCCTCTGGTTCCCAAACTGCATGGAACATTGGCTACTTTGCGCTCTTAAACCGGTTGATCATGGTTGCAAAGTGACTCGTCGTAGTGGTTCAGGTAGATGTCTTCCATACTTTCGGGGAGTTTCAGCTCCCACTGCAAGTCTCTGACAACCCGTGTCCACGGTACCGCAAGTTTCATCTGGTTTCCCGTTTGACTTACCAACCGATTGACAAAACCAATTTTCAAAGAAAAACAAACCATCAAAACCGTCATACTGATCGCCAAAACCGTTCCCAACACTCTGACTCTGGACGCTGCTTCCTACCTTGTATGCCCCACTATTCTCGGACTGCTCACGGTTCTGAGGCCGGCAAGTGGGCTCAGAGACAAAACGTACCTGGCTATTTACAGGTGTTGGTAAGTCTGGCTCAAGGGTCAGGCTGCCGACCAAAGACCTCATTCGTGTCCTCGAACTTCTCCAAGTGGTGGGCTGCGTTCACCTTGTTCCCTTCCGCGTTGTCACGTTTGGACGGTTGAGCACATTCTGCAGCTCGATGTCCAGTCTGGTTGCAGTTCCAGCATCGAGTCCGGTCCTCTTGCGCACCTCCTCAATGGAGACATTGTATCGATTGGAGCTGCTGGGCTTCCCACGACCTTTTCCTCCAGAGAAGGACCCGTTGTAGCCCTTCCCATAGCCACGGCTGAGCTCTTTCTCCTTTCGAAGTTTCAAGGCCTGCTTGTAGGAGCGCTTCTGCTGAAGGACTGTCGCCAAGATCTCCGCCGCCTCGTTCTCCTCAAGGATCTCTTCGGGGTCATTCTCCTGGCTCTTCTGGTAGTCCATCAAGTAGGCCTCCAGCTCGTTGATCTCCTCGTCAACCTCGTACTCCTGTGGGTCCTCTAGCTCGTCCAGGGCCTCGGTGAGTAATACTCCGTTGGCCTTCTTTCGATCAGCGCCAAGCTCGGCAGCCGACAACTTGGTCTCGTTCTTCCTCAACCATTCCTTCACGGACGTTGGTCGAATGCAACCATGCGTAAAGTTCAGCATGGCCCGTGCCTCATTCTCGGTCAGCTGCAAGCCATTGATCAAAAGAAATCCTTGGTACTCTTCTGGCAAAACCACCTTGTGCTCCGAAATCTTCCTCAAAGCAGTGTCCCATCGCGCGAAGAACTCGCGCCAAGTTTCATTCAAGCCTCGGCGCAATAGTGATAGGTCACTCGCGACGATGTTCCTGCCGATCGTCCCCATAGTTTTCCGGACGGTTCATGTCCTCAAGAAGACTTTCCGCATTTCTAGGATCTGCTAACCAAGCACCATTTTTTGCAAGATGCTTGTAGTGCTCGAAGGGTGCTCCCGTGAGCGACTTCAAGATCAAGGGCCCACGTGCCTTCGGCTTGACCTTTGTCGTCGCCAACCAAAGCTTCGCCTTGATGTGGAAGTCCTCAAAGTCTGACAGCCCACACTGGCGGTGGTCCTGATGAACCACGTCCTTCATCATCTTCGTCCTCATCATCACGGCGGCGTCGCCCTCCACGACGTGCCGGTGGCGATCCCGTCGCCTCTTCTGTCCTAAGAAACCTTTGAGAAGCGTCGGAAGGCAGCCATGTCCGCTGCATTCTAGCGACCTTCACTCGGTTCTTCCCCGCCACTCGCACCGAGTGGATCCTGATCACCATCAGACGCCGGCACGGCCACTCCGGCACCATTGTTCGCGACGCCAGCCATCCCCGATCAAGGGCCGCTAGCAAGGAAACCAGTGACCTTCCCCAAAAATCCAAGAATCCCAAAAAAAAAACAGAACACTACTGGGGTGGCCCGACCGTAGCCGGGCTCCGCTACCCCTGTAAAACCGGGGGGTTCCGAAGCAAGGCAAAGGGTCAACAGAATGGTGACTGTTTTCGCTAGCACACAGCCGCAGCCCTTGAGCGAGGAGGTTCCTCATCCCAAGTCCCTTGAGACCACGCATGTGGATGAGCAGCTGTAGTCACAAGCCAACAGGTCTATACAACTTTACAATATGTATCTATTGTATCTATGTATGTATGTAATTAATGTATGTTGTATGTAATTGTTGTATGTATTTGTTGTATGTAATTAATGCATGTATGTATGTATGTATCTATCTATCTATCTACCTATCTATCTGTCTGCCTATCTATCTATCTTTCTATCTATCTATCTATCCATCTATCTATCTATCTATCTATCTATCTATCTATGTATCTATCTATCTATCTAGTATCTATCTATCTACAGTATCTATCTATCTACAGTATCTATCTATCTACAGTATCTATCTATCTTCCGTATCTATCTATCTTCAGTATCTATCTATCTTCAGTATCTATCTATCTATCTATCGATCTATCTATCTATGTATCTATCTATCTATCTGTCTTTCTATGTATCTATGTATCTTTGTATCTTTGTATCTATGTATATATGTATGCATGTATGCATGTATGCATGTATGTATGCATGCATGCATGTGTGTGTGTGTGCGTATGAATGTGTGTATGCAAGTATGTTATGTATGCATGCATGCATGCATGCATGTATGTATGTAGGTATGTATGTAGGTATGTAGGTATGAAAGTATGTAAATACAATGTATGTCAGTAGGTAGGTAGGTAGGTAGGTATGTATGTAGGTATGTAGGTAGGTAGGTATGTATGTATGTACGCAGTATGTCGGTATGTAGGTCTGCAGGTATGTAGGTATGTAGGTCTGCAGGTATGTAGGTCATGTAGGTCATGTAGGTATGTAGGTACCTAGGTACGTAGGTATGTATGCATGTAGGTATGAAGGTATGTAGGTATGTATGCATGTAGGTATGAAGGTATGTAGGTATGTATCTATAAAAGGTATGTGGGTATGTTGGTATGGAAATATGAGGTGTGGCATCCAACATGGAAATATGAGGTTCTCCATCCAAACTGGTGCAAATACCATGGCAATATGAGGTTTTGCATCCAAAATTCTGTAAATACCATTGAAATGAAAGATTCTAGGTCAGGGAGTAGGGGACATTAGGGGACCATACCATTGGGGGGGAGGGGGGGGCTACGGGACCGGGGACCGGGATCATACATAGGCGTTCAAAATGTTTCAAATGGCCTTAGTAGTTTTCTTTGCTGCCTACTAAACTATTTACGTATTTACTGCAGTAGGCGTCAGGTTCAAGGAGTGCATTTTGGTTTTTAGAAAAGACCGGCTCAAAGTCTGAGGATACTTTTCTTACGGCTGTGTCTGAGAAGTTGCTCGACAATGCAAAGTTGGTGCTATCAGTTGCAGTTGGTGGCCTCATCGAGTACGCCGGACATGCTGCTCAGCTTCAAAACGTCTAACACTGCAAACGCTCATGAGCACATCATGAGCTGAGTTGGTTGTGGCACTGCCTGCATTGCACTTGGGATGCTGCGTCGCTTTGGCCTCCTTTTCCCTTTTGGATCTCTGACTTTGTTGGTTGTTTTGGGGTTGCTTGCTGCATCTTGTTCAGGTCATTTTCGAGCTTCTGATGTTAGGCCTTTATGCATCCCGGACAGGACGAGCGGTGGTGGTAGATGCCGGCAGCAGCAACAAATATGTTTGATATTGTTTCTTCATGTTTCTTCTGTTGGACACGGCGATTGTTTGAAGCCAATCACCTTTTGATTCAAGCTGCAACGGCGGCCAGATTTGATTTGCATTGTTTGCTCCAGTTTGTGTGCGTCTGCTAAAGAAAGTTTTACCATCTTTATTCGTTGAGGTACTCTTTTGGCTTTGTACTCCGATGCCAATGAATCTCAAGACAGAAGCTCGGAAAGAGATGATGTGGCACCAGCGTTCAAGCTTGGGAAAGAACTAAAATTGTTGAGTTATTTGCCCATGCATGCATTGATTGAACAGTTCGGAAGCGTGTGAGTTCATGTGAATTCACTCGGGCGCAAAACCCTGTGTTTTCGGGTAAAGTGGCTCCTGGGATCGCCGAAGTAGGGTCTGTGTTTCTGCGGTTTCGGGGCTCAATCTGGAAAGTCGTCGGCCAGAAGCGCACAGGACTGAAGCGAGGGTTCGATTAGCATTTCAAAATGCAAAAAAATGTCACGTTCGGAACACTTTTGGAAGATGAGGTCGGCAGAATGCGCACGAGACTGTAGCGAGAGCATGCGAGAGCTCGGTTTCACATAAAAATCGTTCTGAGCAGCCCGAAAAAGTCCGCGCTGTTGACGGTGCAAGAATGTTGGTCGATTTGGCGCGTCGCTCCTGCTATTCGGGTTTGCAATCGGAAACGCATTGGCACCGCTGCGCGCCGGAAAGTATCAATGATGTTGCCACCTGGCAAGCAGGATTGCAGCTGTTCCCAAACGCATTGTAACAGCTGCGCGAAAAGTAGTTCCTGACCATGGTCCTACTCTTGTGCTATGCGGGATTGTAGCTGGAGGTTACTAAACATATTAAACGCATTGTAACTGCCGCGCGTAGGGACAAAATGGGTTGCAGGAGCTACAGAAGAGCTAGCTAGTTGGGAGGCAGGTCAGAGCAGAATTGAGTAGCCCAGATAGGTGGCTGCTCAGAGAAGAAGCAGCAGCGAGAAGAGGCGCCTCAGCGAAGCAGTAACTAGCTCACAAAGAAGTGTAACCAACTCATTCACCCATCCATCCATCAATCCATCCACCCACCCATCCATCCATCCATCCATCCTTCCATCCATCCATCCTCCATCATCCATCATCCATCCACCCATCCGTCAATTCATTCATTCGTTCGTTCATTCATTCGTCCGTTCATTCAGTCGTTCGTCGCTCATTAATTCATTTTTCTCCATTCATTCACCCATTTATTCATCCATTCATCCATTCATCCATTCGTTCAATCCTTCTTTCATTCTTTCATTCTTTCATTCATTCATTCATTCATTCGTTCCTTCATTCATTCGTTCCTTCATTCATTCGTTCATTCATTCATTCATCCATCCATCAATCCATTCATTCATTCATGCATGCATGCATGCATTCATTCATTCATTATTTTTTTTTCCCGTTCATTCACCGATTCATTGATTCACTGATTCATTGAATCATTGAGTCAATGATTCATTGGTTCGTTCATTTGATGATTCATGTTTTCATTGGTTTAGTGACTCACTGATGCAGTGTATCACCGTTTCAATCCCCCTTACCATTTCCATTACTAAAAGGGTGAACAGTGAACACGTGCTGGGTACCATCCCAGTTCGGGGATATAAATTGACTTCCAAAAATGAAGTCGTGCCTAGGTTTTTGTAGTCAGCGATCATGCGCTCCTTCTTGTAGCGGCTTTTTATTTTTCTAACTTAGCTCTTAACATTCGGAACGGCATTTTGTAGTGATTTATGTGGGGGTGCTTTGGGTCATACAGAAAACCCTATAGCCTTCTTTTGCCGGTCATGCTGGATCACATTAACTTATGGCTCGGACCCTCAGGCAATTTTTGGCTCTTGACTCACAATGCATGCGCTGGCCAGAGTTCCTGCTGGTTCTACTAGATTCCTGCTCTTTTTGTCCAATAGTCAAATTTCACTAAAGTTCAAAGAATCCATGCTCAGAGTTCCTTTCGCCCACACAGCACAAAGTCGATGCGTGATGTCCTAGTTACTAGTTTCTGGGTGACTTTGTCATGCGCACAGCATTTTGTAGTAACACACGCGTGCACAAGCATTTTGTAGAACTTACTGCGTCCCCCTCCAGATGAGCCCCAAAAAGTTCGAAAAACATGTTTTTTATGTATAGAGACTTTAAGAAGGAACAATGGGACAGATTTGGTTTCAAAACCGATCAATTGAAATTCAAGTTGTGCGCTTAGATCGTTTGTGTTGCCCCATAGCTCTGAGCACCGTAGTATGAAACATCTTGAAAGGGTTAACTCTTGGAAATCGATGGAAATCCGAAGGTTGTATTTACTTGTGCTCGGCTGATTTGGACTGCCAAGCCTTCTTTGTTGAAAAAAAGGTATGTTTACACTATATTTGTTTTGTTTTTGAGCTGTTCTTATGATCTTATATACTGTAGTGGTGTTTGTGTTTTATTTGTGTCTTACGAAATCTTATTTGTTCTCTGGGCTCACAACAGCCGAGGCCGAAACGACCAAAAGAAGCAAATAATGCCTATTGTAGTCGAAATTCATCGAGCAACATATGTGCTTCGCACCAAACAAAATGAAAGTTCAAAAAAGGCAACGGTTTTGACTGACCTCTGACCTTTTTGTAGTGAGCCGACATTGGCCATTGATGTCCCATCAAAAACCCAACAGCATTTTGCAGCAAGGGGGTTGGTCCAGGTAAAGGCGGCATTTTGTAGTATGAGGCTGTGCCTGTAAACGGTTTAGTTGGCACAACTTCTCTCCAGATGCACAGGGGGATCCGTTTCATTCATTCATGGGTTGATTGATTCATTGATTGGTGGTTTATTGACTTACTGATTTATTGATTCTTTGAATCACTGATTCATTCGTCCATTTGATCACGGATTCGTTGATTGACTGGTTCATTGATTGACCGACTGGCGAATTCGCTGATTCATTGGTTGATTGGTTCATCTTGACTCATTGTTTTTGAATTCATGGGGCCGTTGATCCGCTGAATCATTGGTTCATTGGTTGATTGATTCATTGATGCGTTGATTCCCTGATTCATTTTTCTTGAATTCATGGAGTCGTTGATCCGCTGATTCATTGATTCAGTGGTTTGTTGAGTCATTGATGCATTGGTT